TTTGATTATTGACTCACGATTGTGGAAGTTGAAAGGACGCGACTAATATCTGCTTTTAAGAAAATATATATTCAAAAATTTATTTTATTGTAAAATAATTCATTTTTATTTATCTAGGATTTGAGTAGATGTTCAAGCATACATATAAATAAATATTTGAGTACGGAATATTTAATTTTATGTAAATTTATTGAAATAAATGAAGAAGTTTACCATGTTGAATTCAAGTGTTTTAATCAAGGAAAAAAATATATTAGGTGAAAAAATGGGGAGTGTGTTTGTGCATCGGATGATATATGCATGAATCTAATAAAAATAATGAAAAAAAGTGCAAAGGAATACTGTTAAGGAGGGTCCACAGAAAAAATGACAAGGGCCCACAAGCAAAAGACAAAGTGTTTTATATTCGAAAGATTAAGGATTCACTAATAGAATCCCAAAGAAGTTGTCTAACCTGGTGCAACCCCTCTGAACCGAGGTAAGAGACATACCAAATGTGGGCCATCTAAACCAAAAAATAAGTCAAGTCAAACTAAGTAGAGGCATTGACTTGTCTCTTGCCACAACCTGACTCAAGGGAAGAATCCATCATAGACAGCTATCTCACGGACACCCTTGAGATTCCTCATCTTGGGTTGAGAACTAGTAATTGCATAATCATATGAAGCATTCTAAAGGATCACATCGTCAAAGGGTGAGCTACCTATTTTATTACGGTGATTCTCCCTTTGCATGATAGCTTAATCTTTCTCCTCCAACTGAAGTTTCTTGTCCAAGAATCAATAGTCAACAACTAGATTATAATAGTCGACTAACAAAGTTAAGCCAATCGAGTCAAGTCTTATCAATCCGAAGACCATCAAAGTTAATTGACAACCTTGATTCAACACAGTCAAACAAATATGTATTGTCAAATCAAGAGCGACTAATTTCATCTGAGCGAGTCGTGGGGTAGCCAAAGTGAAGGTCGATATATATATGTAAAACATCTAAATTATTTTGTAAGTCCCAATTAAAGCAAGAGAATAAATGCAATTTCATACAGAATACGCTACCACTATAAATAGGGGAATCATTTCACGAAAGGACTAATAAAAAATTCAAATTATTGTTCATTATTGTGAACTTCTCCCATCTCTGTTTTCTTACGCTCCATTATTTAGGTGTGATTCACGAACAAATCATGATTCAACATCCTAAAATATGCGTTAAGCGTGAATCATGCTACATACAAGAAGAGGAGTAACACGCGAAGAAGATCACAATAGAGTTAGTGCTAGCATAGAGTGCACCTGAAAGTTTGTGTGACAACATATCTAAGTGTTGAAGGATCATATGATGGATGTCCTCAAAGAGGCATGAGCTCGGGGAAGAGAGAAACAACCCTCGAGAGAAGAGGTTGACACCCATTTGTCGAAGGGGCACCCTTTCTTGTGGAAGTGAAGGAGATTCATAACACCTTGATAGTGTCGGGTCGTAAATAATAGATAAATAACGATCAACGATTCAAGTGCACCAAGGAGCCTCGTTAGTCAGAGAATGCATTTTATTGACAGATTTATGAAGTTAAGGCCCTAAAGAGATTTAAAATTTGTACTTAGAAATTATACAAACTTTGTATTGATTCGGCCGATCACATAGCCTCCTTTGAGTCAGTCGTCAACTTGCTGAAAAGTATATACACATTGAAGCGCGACCAATTGTTCTTCCGCTACGCCAAAGGAGTCGGCCCTCAGATGGTTTAATGGATTGCCTCTGGAGGTGATCATTTCGTTTGCTAATTTCAAGAGAATATTCGTATCTCAATTTGGCAGTGCCTAGAAGCCCCAGAAGAGCTTACAAGCCCTCCTGCAGATAAGGCAAGGGCTTAAAAAGAGTCTCTGATTGTTCATCACTCGATTCAATAAAGAAATGTTGGAGGTGTGGGATCTTGAACCGCAGTAGCTCACACCGCCCTTGCCTAAAGGCTAAAGGAAGGGTTGTTCCAGTACACTCTGGGTCTATAGTGATCAAAAACTCTGACCAAGTTGTTGGACATAGCCAACAATCACATATCGATTGAAGAGTATAATTCCACCCCTGCTTCTACCAGGCCATAATCTTTCACCCATTGTTTGCATTAGAAAGTTCCTAGGGATGACAGGTAGAGAGCAAGGGATGATTCATAGCCTCCTGCTTGCCTGTGCTGCAAATAAAACCAACCACTAAGGGATCACAGGCGAGCCGACAAACCTTGAAATCATGGGAGTCGGGCCCGATACCTTGACCAGTGGCCAGCTCGATATAATGAGAGATATTTGCACCCATCATGGGGCGCCAAAGACAACCTTGGTAAAGATATTCATGGCTGAGATAGTTGAGGTCATTTAAAACATAGAATGTTTCAAGATAGCTCCTGCGATCAAGACCAGAACATTTTTATGGGACCCAAGAAAATATTACACATTCCATGAGGACCACGATTATAATATAAATTATTAAGAACTTGACTCCAAATCTAAAGATGGTGAGTGCCCCCACCCATCCACCCTTTGTTTGATCACTAACTAGATGCAATGATATTGATAATTAGCCCAATTTTAATACAAACATGAAGTAATCATTATTAAAACATTAAACATATCCTTAACTAATTCTCAAATTAATGGAAAAAATTTAATCTTGTAGACCATATTACCTATATAAAATGCAAGCAAAACAAAAAAAAAGAAAAAGAAAAAAAAAATGAATAGAAGATTGACAGAGCATGCATTCATATATGTAAGGTCAAATAAGATCAAGTACAAGTGAAAGGCATATATAGAAAAAAAAAAGAAGATTGACAGAGCATGCATTCATATATGTAAGATCAAATAAGATCAAGTACAAGTGAAAGGCATATATATAAACAAAGCGCTCGAAACGCTCGCCACTTTACATAACAGTACTAATAACATATCACAGATTGGCGCAATCAGCAGGCGCCAAGGTGAGTTTCATGGCATCAAGATCATATTCAACATGAAAGTTCTGCTGCGCAATATTACCAAAGATGTTGACACCAATTCCATCACTGGATATCAAAGCCAGACACAGCACATTCGTAGCAGATTCAACAAAAGCATTCGATTCGTGCAAAACGACTGCTGCGCCGCCGGAGAAGTGGAATGTTATATCAGGAAACGTGGCAGTTTTTCCTTTACCGGAAACATCGAAACAGAGACTGAAAACACCACTGGGGTCCTCCACTTGCCGGAGCTTCACGATGCTCACCACCTTGCTTGTTACATCCTGCAATGTCTCATCGTCGATGAGAGTGAGGGTGGTGCCGGAATCAATGATGATGTTGCCCTGCACATCATTTGGTTTTGCGTTCATTGATGATGCTGGTTTCACGTCCACAGCTCCAGCTCCGGCCACGGAAATCTTCTCCAGGCTGAGGAAGTAGAAGGTGTCAGGATAGCCGGGGAGCAATGGAGTGGTAACGGCCCCATTGGAGCCGACTGGAACAACAGCGTTTGAGCCGAAGTTAAGACGGCTTTTTGCAGAGGTCTGCTCGGCGGAAGGGAGGCAATAAGAGAACTTGCTATCAATGGCGGAACCAAGTTGGCGGATTAGAGAGAGCTGCCCTCCTCCAAGTCCGACGAGACCCGCTCCCTTTTCATCAAAGGTTCCATTGCTGCGATGCGTGCAACCGAAGAAGCTTTTTGGGAACTGAACTTGCCGGCCGCCAATGGTGTTGAAGCTAATGGTTTCTGTGGAGAGATAACCATCGACGTAGGAACCATCCCCATAGGCATAGTTATACGCGCACTGCGATTCCGAACCGCAACTCCCCTGTGGTAAAGCAGAGCAGGAGTCAGAATTGCAGGACACGATTTTGTAGGTGGAGGAGGATTTGGGATCGAACAAGGGGGCTGTTTGGCGATAACATTGATCGCATGGTTTGCATTGGATCCAGATAAGGTCGCTGCCGGTGTCGGCGATGGCTAGAGATTTCTTCGCCGGAGATCCGAGGTAGATGCTCATTAGATACTCGAAATTGTTCGGCGTGATCTCTGAGTAGAAATCGTCGGCGGCGGCCGGAGTTGGGGAAGATGAGTTGGAGGGGGTGTTTGCTTGAATGGCTTTTTGGAAGTAGATAGCGCGGGAGCGGGAGCGTTCTGCGGCGGCTTTGAGGCGGGAGTAAGGGGTGGAGGTGGGGTCGTAAAAAGGAGATTTTGGTGAGTCGCGGTGTATGAGCTCCATGGAGAACCCGCCATTGCTGTGAGCAAGAAGGGGAAGAAGTCCCACTGCGGAGAGGA